AGGTCATCAATGTCTAGACTCGAAGCCCCCGCTTCCGCCGCCGAGCCTGATGTCGAGAACGAAGGAGATCCCGCTCGAATAGCCGAGGCTTGCGAGGACGAGCTCGCACCACCCGCAGCCGCGTACGGTCGTGACGAGCTGCCCACGGAGCGATACGACTCGTCCAGCACCTCCTCGTCGTCATCGGCGCCATCGTCGAGCGAGTATCGTGGCAGTGCCATGTTGCGTCGTTCTATCCCCTGAGAAGCGCTGTGTCGAGACCGTGACTGAGGACGCAAACACGCTTGGGCGGCACTGATTGATGCTGAAAGATGGCGAGGCTAGGACAGGTGGTGTGGCTGTTGGAAGCTCGAGTGCAGCACAAACATGCATGCCTCGACCTGCACTTGCTCGGATGTCGGAACCACACCGCCAACAGCAACACTTTCTCACTCTACGCGACGCGTCTCGCCTCTCCACCCTTGGCCTCACTCCTTTCCACTGAGACTTTGACCACGCATCACAGGCAACGGAAAGAGACGCATAGGAGACAAGGTATCATGGAAGCAGAGAAGCGATAGGCTAGAAATACAGTCACGAACGGGCTATTGAGCAATACAGGGTTAAGCAATGGATAGAAATGCGAAGTTGTTTCGAGAAAATGGAGTCTTTGCGCCGTCCGGGTTCGGCGCAGCTCTACATAGCGACGCCAACCCACTCCGGCTCTTCTTGTTCGTACACTTCGTGATGCGCTTGCATCTCGAGCTGGATGTCGATCTGTGCCGGCGCGGCCTGGGTTCGGTCCAGAAGCGTCTTGCCGTAGCTGCCCGGGGCGATGGCGGCCTTGCGTGGTTGCGACTGCGGCGAGGGCGACTCGACAAAGTGGAGTCCCAGCCCGAATCCGCCCTCGGCCTTGGGCACGCCCGAAGCAGACACCTTGGGCCCCGATTGCGGCTCAGTGAGGGGGATACGCGTGCGCGGCGGCGTTTGTGGCGATCGACCTGCGATCGACACGGGCAGCGGCGACATGGCTGCCGACGACGCAATGTCGTTCATCCCCATCCCGAAGCGCGACAGAGTGCCTGCCGCGCCCCGCGCCGATGACTTGGGCGGCTTCACCGGCTGCATCTTCTTACAGGCGGCTGCGGCTGTCGCTGCAGGCTTCTCCGCGAGCGATTCGACGCCTTTGAGATGCGCAAGACCGATCTGGCTAAGACGACCCAGCCCCAGCTCCTGGGCCAGCTCACTCAGATCCATACTTAGGCCAAGCTGTCTGCCCACGGTCTTGTCCTCGCTCCTTGCCGCCGTGGCGGGCGTGACGCTGGCGCCCATCTGGCGAACCGAGGCAAGCGTGGGCGTGTCGCAGTCGCTCGAGTCCGGAGCGTTGGCCGGAGCACTCGCTCCCTTGAGCTGGAACGCCTTCTTGAGCTCCGACGACCCAAAAACATCGGACGACTCGAGAACGTCGATACCAGTGCCCTTGCTCGCCACGCTACCACGCAGCTCAGCCTCGAGCTCAAAGATGCTCGTGCCCGCCGTGGACGCCACCGAGGTGCTGCTGGTCATCTTGGTGGGCGAAAACTCGAACGTCGTGCTGCTCGGCAGGTAGTTCATCCTGCGCTCGGGGCTTTCCGATGCGTTGCTCGACGCCGAGCTGAACGTGCCGCCGCTCGCAAACGACGAGCTGGACATGCTGCGCGAAAAGGCGAACGCGCCCGAAGAGCTGCTGCGGTGGCTGTCCGCCTCCGAGAGCTGGCTCGTTACGCTCTCGGTGCGCGGCACGCCCGCGTAGCTCAGCTCGGCTGCCACCGAGTCGGCAGTGATCGCGACTTGCTCCTTGGACACGGTCTCGTCGTTGCCAAGCAGTCCCGCGAGCAGCGGTGCGAAGGGGCTCTGGTTTTCCTCGGGCGAGTACACCGATGCGGGCGAGTAGACGCTCTCGGGGCTAGCTGGCGCCGTCCGAGCCACCTTGGCGGGCTGCACAGGTGCTGTAGCAACCGGCACCGACTTGGGCGTAGGGGTGGCGGCATCGCTGCGAGACGGCAGCGCTCGCTGCTCGCTTGCGGCCGGAGCCTTGACAGTGGGCGTGGGCACAGGCGTCGCCTCGACAGGCTTCTGCTGAGCCACCACGGTCTCGTATCGCTGCAAGGCTTCCTCCTGGCGCTCGTGGTCTTCTGAAGTGGCGGCTAGATCCGGAGTGGGCGGCATGATGTTGACGACCGGCAGTGGGGTGCCGCTTCGGCCCGCCATGAGCGGGCTCCTCGAGAGCAGCAGCGGGCTGGCCACGGCGACGGCCTTGGCGCGCTGTCCCGCAAAGTTGACGCGCCTTGCCTGGTGCGTCTCGACGGCCGCGGGCGGTCGTTGCGGACTCCTGCTCGGCGACTGGCTGTGTGCCGCGGTGCGGCGCGCTGGACTAGCAGGCGAGACGGGCGACGCTGGTGCAAAGGCCGCTGGCTGATGTGGCGTCGGAGTGGTCGCGGCTGCATGCTGATCGGCAAAGAAACGAGGCTGTGGGCTGTTGGCGCGATCGGCAGCGACGGGAGCATGGCGAACGAAGGCCGGGAAGACGGAATCCGAGTGACTGTTGGAGCTGGGCGGGCTGGCGTAGTCGTGCAGCTTGAGCGCGGGCACGGTGCGGCCGTCTGCGCTGCGGCTGCGACGCCGGGCCGAGCGCACCTCCATGTCGGACCGGCGCGCCCGCATCTCGGGCTCCTCGCGGCCGCGGTTCTGATCGAGCAAGCCATCCACCACCCTCTGCGTCATGGACAGACGCTTTGCGCTCGACGAATTGACGCTGCGCTTGCCAAGAGCAGCCGACTTGCCTGTTGGCGACCTGCCCTCTTCGCCGGATTGGAGCACCGGCTCGTTGCGCAGCGTGATGGTCGACTTGCGCAGGTCGTTGAGGCGGATGGGGTTGAGACCGGGACTGGGTACACCGCGACCGGTGCTCGATACCACACGGCTGACGGGACGGTTTGCGCCGAGCATGGGCATCTGACTTTCGCGCCCGGTGCGTCGCTTGGCATCCCAGGCAAACTCGAGCGGGATCATGGGCGAGGAAGAGTCGAAGCTCGGCAGCGGTGGCAGCGCGGGGGCAGCGTCAAACATGTCAGACCTGGCGTTGGAGTGCCTGGGACGCGGGCGTTCCTCGGGGGCGGCAAATGTGATGGATCGGCCGTTAGCGGCGCCAGCCCCACTCTGAGCCTCGCGGATCTGGCGGAGGGCGGACATGCTCTTCTTGGTGCTGAGGGGCGAGGTGCGCGACGGGCTGAAGTCCTGGATCATACGGAGAGGAGCGCGTTCTGGGCTGGTGGGCAGCGAGGAGGGGGACTCGTGCAGGCTCGAGCCGGACGAGCCTTTGCGCTGAGGCGAAAAGTGGAAGCCCGACTGCTCAAAAGTGAGCGTGGTGGGTGGAGCGCTCTGCGGCACGCCGTCGAAGAGGTCGGGCGTGGATCTGGAGGCGAGACTGGAAAGGTGGGGGGTCTTTTCCTTCTTCTTGCGGGTGAAGAAGCGTGCGAGGGAAGAGGATGACGAGCCAGCGTTGGCGCCAGCGCCAGCGCTGCGCGAAGACTTGGGCTTGGTGCCGAGGGGCGAGAAGAGAAGGTCGTCGGAAGGGAAGGTGGCCGAGGTGGGAGTGTTGGAAGCGGACGCGGCGACGCTCTTGCGCGAATAGAAGCGACGTCGGGCGGGCATCTCTGGCGCGTCGCGGTCGTCCTCAAAGACGGACGAGGATGCCGAGGGCTGACGCGTCATCTCGAGCGAGGCGGCGACGTCGGAGGGGCCTTGCGCATAGTCTTCCATGGAGGTGGCGAAAGCTTCGAGCTCAGGCGTAGGGCTGGCGGTCCACTTGTGGGAACGTTCGCGATCTTCGCTGTAGCGACCGGCGCGGTGCGAAGCGTGATCAAAGGACGAGCGCGGCTCGGGTGTATGATAGTCGGCCTCGTACCAGTCTCTGCCGGTGTCGATGCCCATGGCGTGGCGCGGATCAAAGATGGCGAGGCTGGCTTTGGAGACAAAGTTGATCTTGCCCTTCTTGGACTTGGACGGTGGTGGCCTGGCAACAGGAGGTCTTGTGGGGATCGGAGCAGGAGAAGCCGAGCGCTCTTCGACGTACTGGGACATGTAGACCAACATGGCTGCAGAGCGTAGCGAGATAGGAGCGGTGGGAGACGAGGGAAGCTTTGACGGTGATGGACGTGCGAAGAGCCGGTGGTAAATGGATCCAGAGTGGGACTGGGATGGCCGTGCGATGGCCTGAAGTGATGACAGCAGGTTCAAGCACCTCGAAAGGATTGGGCAGTGTAGCAAAGAAAAGACTGTAGGGTTCGCTGAGGCTATGTTAAAGATAGTAGGTATAGAAGGATGCCGCACTGCGGGATTATCAGAGACAGGGCAGAGATGGTGGAGTTGGGGTTGAAGGAGCAGGTGGAGATTGGTAGGGAAAGGAGGCAAGGTAAGGATGGTGGTGAACAAGCAAGCGACAAGGATGAACGAGGTCAAGCTGGTGGAGACGGAAGCGGCACGGTGGATTTGGACCGATGGGAGCGGCAGAAACAAGATGTGCAGCAAGGCGCAGCAAGGTGCAGGGCAAGGACATCGAATAGCGGAAGTGCTGCCGGCCATTGATGGCGGAAGCGCCAAATGGCGAGCGGTAGCAGCAGCTTCTGCCTACTGCAGACGGACGGATATGCCCGCCATCGTAGAGCGCTTCAAGGCCTTACACCAGACGGCGCCGCGTCTGGGCGAGCGGAGGATGAAGTGGACGCGCTGGCGTTTGGATTCGACGGTCGCGATCCTGTGGGCGGGGACGGCTAGCCATTCTCGACAGCATGCTCGACGTGACGCTGTCTTGACAGGCGGGCGGCACAAGCGAGGCTCGCCAGAGGGCAGAGGCACCGTTTGACACACGGGCACGAGGCCAGCAGGCCATTGCCGAGGCTGGATGAGCACCAGCGCAGATCAGGCAGAGACCTGCGGTTTCAGTCGGTGCAGTAACTGGAGGACTTACGCACAATGAGTGGATCGGCGGCTGCTCCGGGCCCATTTACCCACGTCGGCGACACAAGCGACGCCGGTATGCGCTCTTGGCACGCAGCGGCCAAAAAGACGGCCGCAATGCATTGTCGGTCTTGCCTTGTGACCTGCCAGCGTTCACTCGATACCGTTGCCCTCAGGCTCTTTTCCCAGCATCACGACTTTGTCTTTGCCCGGGTTCTGAGATGGTCATCACCTTGGCTGACCTTGTGAACCGACCTGGCAACATCAGCTGGAGGCGGTGGCCGAGTTCAAAGAGAAGCTGAAGTCGGGCACAATGGCGGCGACGGAAGCGGGAGGTGGATGGCCTCGGACATGTGAGAAGAATTCGCTGCAGGACCGCCTCGACGTGCATGCAGGCACCTCGCCAGGGGCAGAGCAGAGCCGACGGTGCGCGACACGCGACCATTTGCTTTGCGTGCCAAAAATCGCAGCTGCAACGCACACGTCCAGCCCGCCGCCATCCGAAACGCGCGACGGAATCCAAAGGGTCTAAGCGACGCGCTGCGCTGCGACAAGGCGAGGCGCGTGTCGGTGGATTCAGGGCAGGCTTCGAAAAAAAAGTGTTGGTTTCGCTTGCAGGCTGAGGGTCGCCGCCGCATTTCGCATGCAAGGAGCCCAAAACCCAGCCAGCCAGCCAGACGCGAGGCAGGGCGCGTTCCCCTGATCGGCGAGTGCAAGCCAGTCTCTGCGAATGATGCAGCATGTCCAGTCAGCCTGGCGAGGTTGAGCGGGACCTGCAAGATCAAGCGAGCCTCCCGATGTTTGTTCGGCTATCTTCCTCGAAGCAGAGCCGCGGCGAGCACCCCTGGCGTCATGAGGCTCATGTCGAGATGGTGAGAGTGTGAAGTGTCGCTCGACTGCTAAAAAGGCCGAGAGCACGAATCAAAGAGGCACCCTCTCCACGATTCTGGCCCCTGCTTGTGCGAATCGTCGACGGCCTGTCATGCGGCTGGATAAGCACAGCATGCCCGAGCTGACATCAGTAGATATGGAGATGGCAGCCAACGTATGCTGAGAATGATTTAGTATGATATGGTGGCAGCGTCGCGAGGTGGATCCGCGAGCGAGTCTGCAAGGGGTCGATCCTAGCCGCACACCGCGAGCCGTGGGCAACAAACAGCACGGCTTGGCAGGAGCACTCCCATAAGCGAGTGAGACAGAGGTCCCTCACATGATTGCACCAGCTTCACTGTGCGGGCAAGGCCACGGTCGAGGTGCTCATCGAAATCGGGACTGCCACAACCATGCCATCGGGTCAAAGGCACCGAGGTCCATCGATTCGCCCGCCTTCGTGTCTGTCCACCGGCGCAAAGGCTCCGAGGTGCAGTCGGAGAAGGCCGCCAAGCAAAGCTCCGGCTTCGGCCTGGCTCCGAATCCTACGCGGAGCTTTTTTTCTGCCAGAATCCTGCCTCAAAAGGGAAAAAATTCCCCACCTGACCCGGCGTTGAAGAGACGCGTTCCGCTGCTGCATCCTAGGATGTGGAGCTGGAGCTGGAAATCCGGCGCTGCATGCCCGTGCGTCGGAGCATCGGCTCGAGCCGAAGTCGATCCGCGTCTCGCGCTGAGCCACAGGGTCCTAGTCTCGAAAGGGTCTCCACTTCGTCACGGCTGTCTTCCTCATCCTCCACGATCCTCTTTCAATCAACACCATCGCCGCCACTCATACCGCGACGACGGAGCTGGTGTCCGAAGAGCTTGAGGAATCCGCACCGACAGTGGCCCACGGTCCGAACTTGGCGGCTCGCTTGCACTCGACATCGACCGTGCTCGAAAACGATGCCGTCAGACGTCCATTCGTCGCATGGGCGGCCGCCGCCTCTGGTGGTCCTCTCAGGAGGCCTCGTCTCCCATGTGCACACCGTCATGGGCTTCCTCGCCTTCTTCGGCGCCCTCGTAACTGCACTCTCGCTCCACTACCAAAAAGTCGTCAAGAACCATGTGGCTCAGTATCCCGACGAGTGGTGGCCCTCGGTTTCAGCCACCATCGGCGACTGGTATCCAGAACGCAACATCTTCCAAGTCGGCATCGCACTCATGGCAGGTCCGCGCTTTGCGCTCGTCTTCCTCTCCGCCCTGCTCGTCTCGTTGTCCACGCCGAATCGCTCGCCCAAGGCGTCCATCCTGCTCTTCGTCGGCGTGACCCGCACCCTTGCGTGTGGAGGATGGGTGTACGTCACCAGCACCGACGATCACCTCTTTCACGACATCGCCATGTTCCTCTACCTCGCCCTCACGCCACCGTGGATGTTCATCACAAATGGCAGCCTGGCCCAACCAAGCTTGTCGCCTGGCGCAGCTGCTTCCGACTCGACATCCAAGGACGCGCTTGCGGCAAAAGCGCGGCGCATGCGCAGGATCGCCTGCTTCTCCTTCTTTGCATGCACCCCATTCATGGGCTTCTTCTTCTACCGTCACAATGCGCTGCACATTCCTGGTGCATACTCCTACTATGCCTACTTCGAATGGGGACTCATCATCTTTGTAGGTGCAAGCCGGTGCGCGTTGCCATACCCACTGCACCTGGCACTGACGCTTCATTCCTTTGAATGACAGGACCTCCTCTTCGACGCAGCTAGCGTCTACGACCTTTCGCGTTTCGAGATTCATATCGTGGAAGCCCCCAAACCAGAGCCGTCGTTCAGCAGCTCTGCAGCGCGCGACACAGCATACGGGCCCGAGGGTCGACGTCTCATCGATGGCGCATGGGCTCAAGGCGGTCGCCATCGTGCCATCGCTTCCGGCGCTTGGTCCGCCTCTCAGCTTGGCGCCGGCTCAGACGGGTACGATCTCTTGCCTCGCGTGTGATTCATGACTGGCATCCTGCTCAGCCGCCACCGTTCGATCTCAAGCTGACGGTCATCTCCTTTTGTTTTCGCCCCTTGCATCACTTTAAATCAATTCCACTGCGACCATCTTGTGGTATCGCCTGGGTTCAAACGGACTTGCTCTGGTATTTCTTGCGCCGCACACTTGCGCCGCACACTTGCGCCGCACAGTCAACAAAGCGCGCCTCCTAAGGCTGCCACCGAAGAAGACGATGCGGTGAATCCCATTCTCGTCGATGATCTCGAAAGTCTCGCGTCTCCGACCAGTCTGCGCGCCATCATTGCCTTGATCTCGGACAGCTACCTTGGTGCGTATGCATGAGCCTGCCGTCGAGGAACCGAATCTGCTTGGTACTGACAAATTCCACCACATCAGCTTTCTGCTTTTGGACGGCGCTAACCGCCTTGCATCCAATGATCTTTTACTGTAAGTCAAGCCCACGAGGTAGCTGCGTTGCTGCGGGATTTCTGACTCGCCTTGTATTTTCGCACTTTCGCCGCCCCGACCTTCGCCTCGATTGCGACCCGCAGTCAGCGTCTACAACCTCGCGATCGGTGGCCACGAGGCGCTGCTCATTTCGCAAGTCCTCGGTCTCGGCCTCACGCTGGCCGTACCTGCGCTTCGTTCGCGCGTCCGGCGGCAATCCAGCAGTGGCGTTGCCACTGTGGGGCCTGTCTCGTCGCAGGCGAAAGCGATCGGTTGGCTCTTGTCGCTCGCGGGCCAAGCCAGCTGGTGTGTATCCGACCCGCTCGTGCGGCTCGTCGCCGTGGCCTTTTCCAACGCACTGCTCGCCGTGCTCCTTGCACTGGAGTGGGGCGCCGCCTGGGAGACCGACCGCTTGCCCGTCAAGCTGGGCATCTGGCTGGTCGGCCTGCTCGCAAGCAATCTTGCCAAGTACGCCAACCACAGCAACAACCCGGCATGGCCCTTCATGGAATCGACCAACGGCGGGCACAACGCGCTTCTCCTCGCGCTAGCGCTCGTCGCCATCGCCGAAATGGCCGTTCGCCCCAAGTACGACCGATTCCCGAGCCTTCAGCGGCGCCAGAGCAGTCGTAGCGCCTTCACTGGTTCCAAAACAAATGGCAGTTTCACGGTGGCGGCGCTGGGGGTGGGAGCATTGCTCTACGCACTCCACACATTCCTCACGGACACGGGCACCATGATCGCTTGGGGCTGGACTGGATATCCCGTGCGAGGACCCATGGCGATCCCACACGGCTGCATCATTCTGGTCACCATGGCCTTTTCATCGCTCGCCGCCACTCGATGGACCACCTTCGGATATCGTATCGCGCTGTTCCTCCTGCAATGCGCGTCGGCAGCGCTCTTGTACTTCGCAGCCGACTGGACGAGCTTCGTCGGTGCGGTGGGCATGGCGTTGAGCCTGCCGCCTATGGCGTTCCCCATCATCTCGGCTGCCATGCGCCATGACCCGATCAAGGTGCTGCTCTTCGGCTGGCTCGCTGCCAACGTGCTCACATTCATGGGCGTCCTGACGGTCGCTTACGCGTTCGTACCCGGCGGCAAGGTGTTGCGCGAGAGGACGGGCTTCATGCTCGTAGTGCAGCTCGTGCTCTTGGGTTTGGGCCTCGCCAACGCGCGTCGAGTGGATAGCGCCCGGCTCCGAGCAAGTCGCAGTCAAAGCGGGCAGCGGACGGCGCAGGTTGCGGACGAAAGCAATGTAGCCAAGGCAACACGCCTGAGCAATGCATCGCGCTCGGGGTCGACCTACTACATCTGCTTGTTGATGGCGCTGATCGGCTTGGTCGGCAACTTGGTCCCGCTCTACCGCATCGTCCCATCATCGTCCATCGCTCCGCACCATGCCGAGCATCGTCTGGTGACTGCGGGAATGTGGACGGTGCACTTTGCGCTCGACCAGCACATGCGCGACAGCTCGCGGCGGATGGCGTCGATCATGAAGACGCTCGACATGGACCTGTTCGGCCTGGTCGAGTCGGATCTGCATCGGCCGGTATTTGGCAATCGCGACCTGACGCAGTATCTCGCCGAGGAGCTCAAGATGTACACGGACATTGGACCGGCTCCGAGCAAGCACACGTGGGGAGCGGCGCTGTTCTCCAAGTTCCCGATCATCAACTCGACACACCACTTGCTTCCGTCGCCAAGTGGAGAGCTCGCCCCGGCGATCCATGCAGTGATTGATCTGTACGGCACACCGACGCATGTGATCGTATCGCACAACGGACAGGAGGAGGATCCGCTGGACCGCGAGTTGCAGACCACCGAGATCGCACGCATCCTCCGCGAAGCCTATCCGCACCCAGCTATTTTCCTGGGTTACGTGGTGACCAAGCCGCACGCGGAACGGCCTGCGCCGTACAAGATTCTGTTTGAAGACGGCAAGATGCAGGATGTGGAGCCGACCGACTTTGGCCGATGGTGCGAGTATCTCGGCTTCCGCGGTCTAGAGAGGATCTCGTACGTCAGGGTGTCGAGGTATACGGTGACGGACACTGAGCTTCAGACCATGAAGCTCGTGGTGCCCAAGGAGCCGCTCGACCCGGACACCAACGAGTTTACACGCTTCGTCATGTGAGTTCATGCCAGCGCAGTAGGTTGAGTGGGAGGCAGATGGAGCTGACATTTTGCGGTCTTGTCTTTGTAGCGCCGAGACGTATGCAGAGCCGATGCGATATCCGACCTCGCTGATAGATCCTGATGCCTATGTTTACGACAAGTAAGTCCCACGGCGCCCCAAGCTTCTCGAAATGGATTTGTACTGACGCTCTATGGCTGCTTGCTGCCGTCTCGTTGCGGAACGCGCTCGTGTGCAGACACATCTACTCGCCCTACCCATGGCCCATCTACTACGGCCGTCCCGTGCCGGACTTTTGATGTTGGTTGGTGCGTCGTCACGCGGAAATCCAAAAAGCATGCGGATCACGCTCGCATTTTGTGCTCTGCGTCTGTCCAAGTGCGGCTGTGATGGATCAAATGAATGAGCAGCTGCAGCTCTCCGAGCTTATCCTGAACTTTCGCTCGCGCCACGACACGGAGGTCTGTCGGAAGTTCCAAACAAGGCCTTTTCCACCTATCACACTCACACCAGCCTGCCGCGTTGCGTTGTCCGCTATTGTTCCGCAGCAAGCTTTGGATTAGAGTTGCAAGGCTATGAATGCACAGCGGGCGATGTGCAGACGCATTCGATGCAGGTCAGTAGACCACGCGGGAGCGGATGTGGCTTTCGTAGGTGCGGATGTGCGGAAGTGCGGACGTGCGGTAAACATGTCCGCCAGCAAGGCGGCCTCCGTTTATCAGAACGGGCATCCTCCCGACGCTCGGCTATCCTCTCGACGTCGTTACCCCTACCCACATCTCAAAGGCTTCCAGCATTGAACCGACACCGTTACGCTTTCGAAAGAGCCTGTTCTTCTTGCAATACATCGTTCATATCGAGCCAGCCTCGAAGACGCAAAGGCGCATTGAATCCACACGAAGCTGCTTTCCAAGAGCACTCGTCCAAGTCAACTACGCCAGCTAAGGCTCACCGTATCCAGCTACCAGTCATGGCGCAGACCAAAGTCGTACCAGAGCACGGCCCGGACGCGATTCGAGCAAAGCGCGAGCATATCGAGGCGAAGCTCGAGGCTGATCTCGACCACGACGACGCAGACAAGAAGCCCCGAAAGCAGCGGAAGGTTACGGTAGGTCCCTCCAGCACTCCTCATCGACCTGCATGGGATGACCCGTATCGTGCTGACTCTAGACTACACCCTCATCGCACAGCAGCGAGCCCCTCCCAAGGGCTGGTCTGCGGAAGAGATGGTCAGTTGAGCACAATCTTTCTTGTAGAAGTTTTCCTTGGATGCATCCGCTGACGCACACTCTCGCGCGCACATACTCTCTCTCGGAAACCAATGCAGAAAGCCTTGCTGGATATTGAGCTGCAGTGTGCTCTCGACAACATCCCTCGCTTCCTCGAGGCATCCGAGCTGGCGGACCGCAATGCCAGCAAGTAAGTACTCGCGGACATGTCGTGACATCTTTGAGATCAGCCCACTGACTCTTCTCGATCACCATCTCCAATCTTTCCAGGATCAACAACAAGCTGCGCCAGCGACACGCAGCCGCTGTCAAAGCACTTCAGGCAGCATCCGCCGACGTCAAGCCCAAGGCCGAATAAGCAGCCATGCTGCGCTGCGAGAACGTATGATCTATTTCTATCATCGTCCTAGGGCAAGCGGACTCGAGCCGTTGGCAACTTCCGCCAACTCGCATCGTCAGGTGTCGACCGACTTTCGGCCACGAACGCAGTGCACTGTCACGACATTGCAATACCTTGGTAGGATCACGCTGACCATGCTTCAGGGTAGCGAGATGTCTCCTTATCAGCAAAGGCTGCTTAGTAACCTCGACAGGATAGGCAAGCGATCGCCGCAAGCAATCCACAAGATGACCCGAATCGGTGAACACCGCGTGGCGGGTGTGGAAGTTGAGCATCAGTGGAGAGCCCGAGGTTTCGGTGGTTCAGGGTCCAACCTGAGAGAGTCGATTACATAAGCCAAATTTTGGAGGCTCCAGTGGATTTTTTCGCAAGAAGACGCACAGCTCAGCGCGAATTTTGAGCAATTGGCCGAAGCGGAAGAAAGGGTTCACTTCATCCTACTTCTCGTCCATATCATTCGGCATCGCACCTCTATATCATAGCCATGCCGCCAAAAATCAGACAGAGGGGCAAAAAGCCCTCGAAGCTTCGAAAGCTGCAGGAGGACGAGGCGGAGTCCAAACAAGAACAACCTGTGGCATCCACCTCGAACCAGATCCAGACTCAAGCCGACTACATCGCCCTCGACAACACGACCACAGCGGCAGATGCAAGCTCGCAGCAGCCTCAGCAAGAAGATGGCCAGCCCAACTGGGTGCGCCTGGGCGAGCGATCGAGCAAGGCCGAGCATGAGGCTCCCTTTGGCTACGTCGATGCCGAGCTCAAGGCGTATCTGCGTGCGGGTTGGGAGCGTGCCACCGAGCTCGAAACGCAGGGCTACTCGGCCAAGTCGACTATGACTGCGCTCGCCGCCGCCTCGTCCGGCGGTTCAGATGCGACACATCCGGCTGGCAATGGCGACGAGGAGCAGGAAGAAGACGAGCTGGCGCTGCTGCTGCAGGCAACTCTCAAGGAGATGGACGGCAAAGAGCTGCTCCTCTCGACCGACCCCGACACCTCGCTCATCGTAGAGGCCATCCTGCATCGCCTGCCCGCCAAGCCCCTGCGCGTTTTCGTCGACCGCCTCGCAGGCAACTTTGCCGTGCTGTCCAAACACAGATTCGCCAGCCACGTCGTTCAGGCATGCCTGGCCACCTTGCAGCCTGCCGTCACGCTCGAACCCGCCACGCAGCAGCACCTTTCCCAGCACCAGCACCGAAACGGCTCTGCCACGAATGGCAAGGCGGCTGCATCGTCGGCATTTGCCAGCGACACGGCGACCATCGTCAACGAGGACGGCGTGCTGCGCTCCGCCACCCAGCTCATCCTCGATATCGCCGAGGAGCTCGCGTCGGATCAGGCTCAGCTGGCGGCGCTCGTTTCGGACGCGTTCGGATCGCATGTGCTCCGCTCGCTGCTGTGCGTGCTCATGGGGCGCAACATCCAGATGGACACATCGTCGTCGGCACACGCTGCAGCGGCGGCTGATCTCCGATCGCGCAGGAGCGCAAAGTTCCGCACGCGCAAGGCACCCACCTCGGTAGCGGGCAGTGGCGCAGAGGACCTGCTCGTGGTCATTCCCGACCTGCTCTACACCCGTGCCGCCACGCTGCGCAGTGAAATCCTCGGCGAAGCAGGCACGGACGTTGTGCGACGCTGGGCGGCGGATGCCGTCGCGTCGCCGCTGCTGCAGCTGCTCATCGACGCCGAGGTCGACGCACTCGGCGACGCCGCCGATGAGGGCGAATGGTCCGGCTCGCTCGTCGACCTCTTCCTGGGCGGGTTCGTCTCCAAGCCGCCCACGACAGGCGAGGGCGAGGCGGAGCGCGATGCGTATCTCGAGACGTCGCTGCGCGACAGTGTGGCGTCACACGCGCTGCAGCTGGCACTCGAGCGTGCACCTGCCGCTACCGCCGCGCGCTTCTTTGCGGTCTACATCCACGGCCGTATGGCCAAGCTGTGCATCCATCCTGCAGCGAACCACATTGTGGCGGCGCTGCTGCGTCGGCTTTCGGCCGCCGAGCTTGCGCCCGCCATCGCGGAAATGGGCAAGGTCGCCACGGGCATGGTCAAGGAGCAGATGATCGGGTGTCTGCAAGCTGCTGTGGAACGTGTCGGGCAGCTGTGCGATCCTGCTGCGGCGGTGGAGGGAGACGGCGCGAGGGAGCTGGTCAAGGCGGTTTCGGGGGTCGTGTTGGGTGCGTTCAGGCTCAAGGCCAAGGCGGAGGGTGAGGAGGGGATGGAGCTGTTGGTGCCTGCAGTGCTGGCACTCAAGACGCGCAAGGCGTATCTGCACACATTCGCAGCGCATCTCAAGCACGATGAGGCTGCCGACCAGGCGGGTAAGAAGCGCGGACGCGATGGAAAGCCGCTGTCGAAGTCCAAGGCCAAGTCGAAAGCCAAGTACGCCAAGGTGCGCGAAGCGCAGGCGGAGTCGGACGAGGGGCAGGTGGCATGGACCATAGATGCGGAGTACGAAGTGCCGCCGGCCGAAGCCACTGTTCAGGGCAGTCTGTTGCTGCAGTCACTGCTGCGACTTCCTGGACCCAGTGTACCGCCACGTGGGCCGGTCAAGCGGACCTTTGGTCGACCTACTGCTGCGGCACCGGTAGAGCGGGTCGAGGTGTTCGGTAGCGCGCTGGTGCTCGAATCGTTACTTGCGCTGCCGACGCTTGCGCCGTTTGCGCGCAACCCGACGGCGGTACACACGCTCATCGCCGCCCTCACACCGCCGACCACACCCGCCACCACCGGTCTGGATGCGGCACAGGCGAATCGACGCCGCAAACTCGGCGGTGCACTCGTGGCGCAGCTCGCGCACTTCTGCGGCGACAAGTACGGCAGCCGTCTGGCGGATCAGCTCTGGTACACCTCCGACGGCTACTCGAAGGAAAAAATCGCAAAGACGGTCGTGGAGAACTCGGACACGATCCTGCGCGGCGCGTACGCGGGCTACTTTACCAACAAGCTCCAGCTGCAGCTCTTCCGAAAGGGCAAAATGCGCGAATGGACACAGGCCATCCAATCCCAACCACCTCCACGCAAGGAGGCACAGCAGACGGTGGTGGAGAAGCAGAGCCCCATCGTGGTGGCGACGTCGAGGAAGGATAAGAGCACCAAGCGCAAGATCGACGGTCAACTCGATGCCATCCTCGACACGATCTAGCGGAATCATCAATTGCATTGCACGCGGAAGTTACAAAGCGGAGTTGACAGTGGCACGGTGGTTGAGCAGGATGCCCTTGAGTGGACGGGGCGGGGGTGCGGTGAGGACCGGCATGGATGCTGAGCTGGGGAACGATGGGCGGTTGCGACGGGCACGCGCGGCGTCGGCAGCATCAGCAAGGGGCTGGCTGAGATATGCGGTGGCCGACGAGTAGTAGAGCCGTTGTGCGCGTGGGTCGTCGCACACCGTGTTGGGGTGCACCGATGTGCGCAGGTCGAGCGAGCTCTTGCGCAGCGGAACGCGCACCGCGGGCAACGCTGGCGCCGTGGCTTGCACGCTCAACTTGGCGCTGGGCTTGCGCTTGCGCACGTCGGTCTGGCTCGTGAACGAGTGGTGGTCCGTAGCCGAGCGTACGGGTCGTGCGCGCGCAATGATCGGGATATCGGGCTCGACAGGTGTGTCCGAACCGCGAGAGAAGAACGATCCAGCTTGCCCGCGGACGGGTCGTGGACGTGCGAGGACCGACCCACCAACAACGGCGCGTGTGGCTCGCTCGATCGTTACAGGTCCCTCGTCCAGCAGCGCAGGACACGACTGCGAGGTCGACATGCCAACTCGTCCAGCCGCAGCAGGTGAGGTCTGGACCACCGACGCTGCTTTGGCTGGAGGAGCGAGTGAGACTTCAGCCGTCTTCATTGAGAGCAGCGCAGGCTTGGACACGAGTGGTCGACAGCCGGCGATCCCTTCCACCGTGTGCGAGGGTGGAGAGAAGGACAACTCGAGTCGGTACGGCGTGCGGCAGGGTGCTATCGGCGAGGGAAGCCCATCCAGCAGCAGCGGCGATCCGCCCAGCTCCAGCTCCAGTTCGGGCGTGCTGAGCGGCGGAGACATGTTGGCGTCCCTCACGAAGTCCATCTCGACTTTCGATGCCTTCTTCACAGGGGACTCCTGAACAAGGTGGCTGAACTCGCCTCCCAGCGCTCCCCCTTCTCTCCTTGGGCGCATCGTCACATCCCCTTCATCTTCCTCCGTATGGGCGGCTAGTGGACCGGCGAGGATCGGGCTCGAGCAGCTCGAAGTCACCGCACTTGCCGTACTTGACACCACCCGCACCGCCCTTCCCAGCACGGGTGCGTAGCTCTGCACCTCTCCCTTGGCTGGCTCGTCGTCCTCGCTCCACCACGCGCCTACATCGGCCTTTTGCTCCCTGCTAGCCTGCAGCTCAGCCGACGCCTTGCGCGCATGCCTCCCGCTCGCCCGTCTGTACCTGTACCCGAGCCCGCACAGGTATGCCATCTTCTCCTCGACCGATCCACCCACGTCTGCGGCGCGCTTGTCGGCGAGCGACAGTGGCAGCTCCGACACGTTGCGGTCGAGCAGAAAGAGGCTTGCGTGCAGCCGAGCCAGCTTGGCTGCGTCGGCACCGAACGCTTCGGCGTCCGACTCGTCCGTGTCGCTCACGAGCGTGCGCGACGAATCCGAGCACGACGACGCCGAGGTCACCTCCGGAGGCGAGTAGGCCGGAAGAGTGGCGGTGGCGTTGTACGATGGCGGACGCGCGTCCGAGGCGAGGAAGGCGTGCGTGAGATCCTGCGAGACGGGGCGTGGCGTGGGTGCGTGCGAAGAGTAGGGCGACCAGCCAGACACGGGCTCGGGCTGCTCGAGTGCAGGAGAGAGGTTGGACTTGCGCTTCCATGCATCCGAGTGTACCCTCAGCGGAGGGCTCGCACCGACTTGCTGGATAGAAGGTCGCTGGCTGGGACGCAGCGCCGACTTGAGAGGCGCCACCTTACTTCGCGCACTGGGTGGCAGTGGGAACTTGAATGTTTCCGAGCGGCACCTTCTCTGCTTCCAAACCGGATTCTTGGTCCCGCTCGAGAGCAAGTAGACCTTCTTTGGCGCAACATCCCCATCCCAGTCGCTCGAGGCATTCGACAGGGCCGGCGAAAGGTAGCTGAGCAATACATCGTGCGTCGCGGATGTCTGCATCACTTGCCTGTCCTGCGTCGAATCTGAAGAGGCCGACGAGCTGCTTAGCGTCGGCGACGAGTCGTAAGCCGTGCCTCCGCGGTACAGGGTGCTGCTGTGATGACGCGCCGTATACGGCCAACACATGCCCGACTCAGCCATCAATCCCAGCCCTTCGCCGTATGCTGGCTTGACTACATCCATCGGAATACCAAGCCCGATTCCGATTCCAAGCCCCTCCGTCTCCCGACCTGCGCTGATAATAGAGGTCATCCTGTGTGAAGAGACCAGGTAGGTCAAGTCGGTTGTTGGAAAAAATACGAGAGCGAAGCGTTGTGTCTAGTCCAGCTAGACAACTTGGGGAAGAGAAAGGGTATAAGCTACGAGTACATCGATCAACGATGCCTTGCGAGGTGAAGGTGACGAAACGAGATGGTGGACGACTGCCAAGGCTGAAGGAGCACGCAGCGGTGCGGAGGAGCGATTCGCCCAGTCGAGAGGGTAGAACGAGCCTCAACGCCCTTACAGCGCAGATTCAGCTGCCAGCTGCCTTTGCCTGACCTTCGTGCCAAGGCGCAAGGCGTCTCACATCGCAAGGCAATGGTCGCCGCCGAAAGCGCTGGGCCAATCCGGTGAGGGGCCAGCCTCGCGCTATTCGATGTGACATATCGTGCGGGCTTGCCGCTAAGGGCGGCTAGAAGTTGACTGCGCCCTGGTGCCTGTTTCAGAATTTGGCGCGAACTCTTCCCGATGAACGATTCGGATCGGGATTTGTCCGCAGGTTCGGAATTCGGCAGCTGGCATCTTCAGACCCTGGCTCTGACTTGGCACTTGTGATCCTCGTTGCCCAGCTTTCCGGCAACGACTGCATTGCGACGACCGCGGCTTCATCTGGCCCAAGATGGCGCGCATTCCTCTCACGCCCGAACAGAGGCGTATCAGGGTAAGTCTGAAGCCTCTCACCACGCTTGCACGAACAAGGAACCTTCTCGCTCTGTTTTGTGTCCAGTACTGACAGCTCGCATTGTATCTCTGACTCTGCCAACCACAGACGATAATGGTGTCGTTCCCTCTGCTGGTGGCTACGAGCGTTGTCCTGTTCAAGCGCCTCTACCTTGGCGAGGAGCAGCGCCGCTTGCCTTCGCAAGGTAAGATCGCACCGCCTCCCGCCTAATCCTCCGGGCTCCTATGGGCCATGACGGATATGCGATCCGGCTGCTGGTCCACGCTAGAGCCCAGTCAAACACAGTGTCTGACAAGGGACGTCTGGCAAATGACGGCGATCAAGACCAGCGCCAGCACGCAAACAAGTGCGAATTAGCTCAGACCAAGTCGCACGAACTTCGCTTCACAGCGCGAGACGGAAGGCGATCGAGCCACAGCCACAACCAGCAACCCAGCCCACCCACTGACGTTGAATCCAAATACATTGTTCATTACTGTCTCGGAAGACACCGTGCTAAGTTGTCGCCTCTACTCGGAGGACGAGAACAAGACTGCATCGGCGGGGAAATCTTCGGGCTTGACCGCGCAGTCGGCGCCGACGAGGCTGCAGCCAGGCCCGCTCTTTGGCAGATCAAACTCGACGGTGGCCATGAGCACGACGATCTTGGTCTCGTCCTGGTTCTTCACCTCGTGCACGCGCACGGGCACCGACACTTCCTCCATGCCCGACTTGTGCTGTGTGCGCCGGTCGCCCGGGTCGCTCGTGTTGGACGGAATGGCCGACTGCACCGCACTCGGCCGCACGCGCAGAATCAGACGCTTGCTCTGGTTCGGCCCGAGTGAACACGTCACCGTCGACGAGATCCGCTTGAGTTCCCTTGGCTTGTCCGCGTTCGCTGCCGCTGTCGAAGGTGCGGCCGACTCCGCCGCGTCCGCCAGCGATCCTGCCTGTGCCTCCGCCTCGCCAGATTCAATGCCAGCCGCAGCCGCGGCGGCGCCTTGATCTTCGGACGCGGTGGCGGTCTCGGACGGCGTGGCAGACGCCGCCGGCGTCAGACTTGGCAACTTGACACCCAACGCCGTCAGCCTCTCCTCGTACTTCTTGACCTTTTCGGCATTGCCCTTCCTGCTCGCGATCTTGAGTTTCTGAGACAGATTCTCGATCTCCTCTTCCTCCTCCTTGGACAGCGTGCCGCGCACATCGTCGTCGCTGGCGATGCTCAGCCCTACATCGATGAGGCAGCGCTGATGCAGCAGATCGTGCGTGTCGATCGCGATCACAAACGAGCGCGACTTGGCCGTGGTGTTGGTGAGCACAAAACTCTCCGGCGTCGAGAGCTTGCCGGGACTGCACGCGCCAAAGTTGATCGCGCCGGGGTCCACCGCAAAGTTGGGCGTCTTGCGCACGTTGGCCTTGAGCACAACCGTCTGGTCGTTATCGCGATCCGCCACGTTCTCTACCACCAGCTTCTCCTGGAATGGGCCGGACATGGAGGGCGAAAAGACAAACTCGACCTCGCGCTTGCCGTACCCGGGCACCACGCCGTACCGCCCCCTGCTGAGCTTGATGTCACCACTCGCAATGCTTCCACTCTTGCGGATGCAGTAGCGCAGCGCCCACTCGCTGCGGTTCTGGATGAGGATCTTACGCGTCTTCGAATCGCCCTTCTCCATGTGGCCAAAGTTGATGTGCGGCTGCCCCAGTTCGAGTAAGCTGCGACAGGTATTGCTTCGCAGCATCAGATCGCGGACGGGCAACTCGTCGGCATCCAGCTCGGCCATGCCCGAGAACTCCTCGGACGCGCGCACCACTCCCATGTCAAACTCGATGAGTCGCATAAAGATGCGCGAGTCTTGCTTGCGCGCGTTGCCCTGGATGTGCGGCCGTGTGCTGCCGCTCGGATGATAGACGGCAATTACCTGGCCCTCGGAATGCGGCGCCACCTCGAGCACCTCAAGCGGGAGCAGCTTGCCCGCATCGATCGAGCTCTGCAGCTCGCGGCGCAAGTTGATCTCGGCGCGCACGGATTGCTCCTCCGCCTCGGGTGTGCCCAAGAAGAACGTGCTCATCAGGCTCGGCTGGGCCTCGACGGCCGCCAGCAGGTCCTCGAGCGACATGCGGGAAACATCAACGGGATTCGACAGCACCGGTGCGGCTTTGCGCTTGCCCGTCAGTGCAGGTGAAAAGTGCACGCGAGCCGACGACTCGCCGGCCTTTCCTTCCTTGCCGCTCTTGCCATGCTGACGAATGGCCGAAGCGGGCTGCGACTTGCTTCCACTCGTACTCGCACCACCCTGGCTCGGCTCTTTCGGACTCGCGGTGCGGGCTGCACTGTCTTGATCAAGGATGTCCCTGGCCAGCGGCGACGGCAGCCGCGGAACCGAGGATGCGGCCCGAGACGCTTTCACTTTCGGTGACAGGCTAGCATCCGCTTGCGATTCGGCTTCGCGATCTCTGGCGGCCGCCTTTGCCTTGGCACTCGATTTGGACTTGGAGGCGCTGCTCGTGCCATCGTCGTCGTGATTGTGCTTGTGACCCGTGGTTTGACCGAGGCTCTTGGGCTTGCCGCCCGTGGTGATGTTTTCGAGCAGCGCATACTTCTTGCTCTTGGCAGGGATGCGACGTGCGTCGACCGGGGGGCCGGTGGCGAGGTCGAGATGCTCAAAGTCGCTGATCAGCGTGCGGTCCTTGAATGTCGCCGTCTTGCCGTAGGCGACAGTGATTCTGCCCTTGCCACCCTTTTTGAGTGCTGCAAAAAGGTTGATGCTGGGCTTTGGCTTGCCCGACGACTGTGCCTTCCTCTGGGCGGAAGAGCTGCTGCCGTCATCCTTTTTGCGGTAGTGGCTGTGCTTCTGCGCCAGCCTCCAAGAGGCATTCTCTGTTCGCACGGTGGTGGGCGAGTCCACCGAGATGGTCTCGAGGAAGCGCTCTTTGAGATCGGCACCCTTCATGGAGGGCTTGCTCGACTTGGCCTTGCCTGCACCGGCGCCTCCACCGGATGCCTGAATTGCTTCGGTCGCCTCAGCTCCTGTGCCTTGCCCGTCTGACTGTTGATCGCCGTACTTGGATGCGCCCGCCTTGGCCTCGAGCTTTGGGCTGCTGCTGGACTTGGCATCGGGAACAGGGGCCTTGATGTACAGCGTGACGTCTTCGGGGTGCGCAGGGCTCAGCTCGAGCGACAGCTTCTTGTCCGACATGTTCTCGATGGTGAAGGTGCGCATGCGCATCGAGTTGATGTTGACGTCGCCAAAGTCGACGTAGTTAGACCCGGTCGGCGTGAGGATGCGGTAGAAGAGCGAGTGGAAGCTGATGCGCTGCTTGTCGACGTTGCGCGAGCGCACCTCGAAGATCTGATCGCCTTGGCGGTTGAGCAAGTTGGCCACCGTGATCTGCTTGCGATACGTCTCGTTGACTCTGCGCGGGAACGACTCGACCTTGAGCTCGACGGTTTGGAGCGCCGGAATGGCCACTTCGTCTCGGTACATGCTGAGCACCTTTGAGACAAAGCGCAGGTCGACACGTGCCGTCAGCTCGGAGCGGTTGGTGACCGAGATGTTGGCCGACTTGCGCGTGCCCACCTGCACCTCGCCGAGATCGATCATCTTGGGTGTGATCGAGATAAACGATGTACATGTGCGGCTGTGACAGACCACGGTCCTTCGCTCGCGACCACCGCGACTTCGGGCGTTGGCAAGCCGCGCACGAGAATAGTCGAGCGAGATGCGGAACGTCCTTTCGACGAGACGGCCGCCAGAAAACTCGGCATCCCAGGCGACACGCTCGGGGCGGTACGAGACAAAGACGCGATACTCGCCTCCCGGTCGAAGGACGAGCTCCTCGAGCTGGTTGCTCTGAGCATGCTCCACGTGGCGCAGCCCGGAGATGGCGGCTCCCACTGGGTGGCGAAGCTGGTTGCGGGCCGAGGCACTCGAGGATCCTGCATGCGACGACCCAGCAGGGTACGAGCCCGCCCGACTGTCTTGGGAAAGCGCAGTATGGACCGAGCGGATCGAGCTGGCATCTTCGTGGCGGTCCGACTCGAGGGGACGTCCGCGGGAAGCAGGTCGAGACGCAAAGGCGGAAGAGGCATTGCTCTGCGGATTGGTAGACACGCTGGCTTGGTCGAAATCGCTAGCGGCAGAAGCGAGCGATTCGGGGCGGCCCGAATGGACGCGATCCATGAGGTTGAGCTGCGGCGCCTCGCCCTTACTCGCGCGAGCCACCTCTGCTGCCGAATTTGCGAGACACTCGCTGAGCTGCGGCTTTGCCGATGATTGCGTGGACGGGCGAACGGGCGAGTTGGACCGCGACCCCGCTTGAGAGGCGACGGAAGAGGCGTCAACGCCGTCTTCGTCCGTCTGAGCACTGCCTCTGCGACCGCGAAGCATATCGCAGGCCGCGGTGTTATCCGCTACTGGCAGCTCTAGCTTAGGTGGTTCCAAGCCGGCTGGGCCCTGCGGCACCTGTGCATAGTGGGTGGGCGTCTTTGCAAAGTCGGACGTGGTGGCGTGGTGCTCGCCGCCGGCCTCGGACTGTCGCGAGTGCTCATAAGCACTGGACGCAGCATCCGCGCCGAATCCGGCGCTGCTGCTGTCGGCTGCCGAGATGCGGCTGCGATCGCCTGTGCTGGCAGAGGAGATGGAGATCTCGCTGACGTGGGAGCTCGGCGGAACCTCGTCCTGATCTGTCGCCTCGTCCTCGCCCTGTGGCGCGAGCTCTGCGAGCTGGAACATGACCTCGTACCCCTTCTGCACGCCAAAGGAGACGTCGAGGAGCACGTCAGCGTTGTTCTTGAGTACAAGCAGCTGCTTTGTCCAGTGGCCGCCATAGCAGTCGCCGAAATCGAGGTAGTCACCCGAAAGCACGGCGAGAGCATCGTCTTTGGCGGTGCCCAGCATATTGGCCCGGATGACAACGCGGATGCTGTTGGCCGAATTGTGTAGCGAGGTGATGGTGAGCACCTGCTCATAATCGCGACAAGGTTCCTGTGGCTTGAGCGAGATTTTGATCTGCTTGGACTCGAGACGAGGCAGGACGAGAGGCTCGTAGGCCGCATTTTCCTGCTCGGCTGCCCAGACCGAAGGCACAGTCTCGTCGTTGTCAGCGCTGGTCAGATGGACAGGCGGCGTCTGCAGCATGTTGTCGGCCTCTTCGAGCTTGACTTGGCAGAAGCAGTCGATCTCGGCCAGATTGCGGAGCGTGAGGATCTGAGCATGCGACTGGCCGACGATGACATCGCCAAAGTCGAGGTAGATGGCGGCCGAGTGGCTCGTCTGCGCGCTTGCGTGCGGTGGCAAGGTGGCAGAAGCGATGGCAGCATCGATGAAAGGCCTGCAGCATTGCGCGGCGACGGGGATGCGGATCCTCTGCACTTCGCGCTCGTCCGGCTGGCTGCGCAAAGCTGAGGCGGTCGACGAGGCGACGGATGCTGACGCTGCAGCGGGCGCGCCGTACGACGAGACAGGACGGGACGAAGACGGATTGGATGCGGACGAAGAGGCCTGCGCGCTTTTATGCGAAAGACTACGGGCTTGGTCGACGCTAGCCTCGTCGTCACCGTCATGACGTGGGATCGTCCAGCTGGAGAGGGTGATGGTGCCTCGAAGGCCAAACGCCGGGTACAAGGGCCGCGAGGTGTTGGCACGTGAGGCAGCGATGCTTCCATGCAGCTCTGGAGCGGAGCGCGGCGAAGTGAGGCCGAGCTCTTCGGCGGCACTGCCCGTGCTCTCTTGATCCGAGACGGCGGCACTGAAGCTACCTTGCTGTTGCTCGAGGAAGGCAGCAGGCGTGGAGACGGGCGAGGTGGCGTTGACCAAGTCTGCACGCGACGGATGGAGGGCAGAAGAGGCGGCATACTCGGAGGGCTTGCGCGAGGTGGCCTGCGTCGAAGGCGATGGTGGCACGCGGTACGGCCAGCCGGTGTTGCACTGGATCGCTTCTGCCTCTTCGACAAAGTCTGCGGGACGAAGGACGACGTAGACTTTGGTGGTCTGGCTGGGCTCGAGGATGAACGAGTCGGCATTCTCGAGATTGGCGAGGACGTGCCTCCAACCTCTGAGGTTGGCGGGGACGAAGCCGCCCTTGCGCGCCCAGGCAATGCTGTTCGATGGCCAAGCTTCGGGTTCGAACTGATTCTGAGGAGCCGAGCGCTTGCGACGCATGAATGTGAGACCGGGGCGAAGATCGGATTCGAGGCGGACGATGGCGCTGTGGTCGGAGCTGTGGTTGGTGATCATGACGTGATGGACGCTAGGAGCATGGTTGATGTAGGTCTGTTCGAAGCGCAGGCAGTCTTGAAGGTTGACCGAGACGTGGTCGGGCCCTTGGGAAAGCACCCTGAGGTCGACAGTGTCGCCCAGCTGTGGGGCGCCGACGTGCAGGGGAGAGGGTGCAGGCTTGAGGCGTGGCTGGAGGGAGACGCCGTAGCTTGTGTTGGAGGCGTTGGTCGTCGACGCTGCGGAGGAAGGCGGTAGCGAGATGAGCGAGACACTGCCACTGGAAGAATTGGTGCGGAAACGTCTGAGTGCTCCGCCATTGTACTCTGCCTCGGAGCTGGTAGGCTGGTTGGCGAGGGCGGGAGGCAGATCTGCGGAAGGAGGTGGCAGAGAAAGAGCTTCTGAAGAGGCGGGGTCGCGCAAGGAGGGGGACGTCGGACCGCTGGAATGGGAGCTCCCGGCGCGCGAGACGGTGGTGGATCTGGAGGACTCGCTTGCGCGCTCGTCATGCAAAGGCGGGTGCGCCGAGAGGGATCTAGCATCGCGAGTTTGGACGATGGTATTGTTGGAGGCGACCGACTTTGCGGGCGGACGAGAAGGGCGCTCTGCAGCCATGCTCTGACGGTCTCCCAGGACTCGCTCGAAGGCGCCGACCCATTGGTGGCCGCAGGAAGTGTGCGAGTCGCCAGGCTCCTCTTCGATGTCGAAGCGGGGCGACTTGAGCGCGAAGGCGGTGTCGGACATGGCGATGAGGGGGATGGCCTCGAGCTACGAGCAGGTAGGATAGATTGGTGCACTTCGCTTTGCGTTGAGGATGCGGGTGGTGCACGGTGTCCGGCGCACGGGCGTTGCAGCTGTACGGCGGCGAGGGGTATCTTCTTACGACGTCGAATGTCTTGCCTTCGAGGATCGATGCGGGCGCAGTTGGAGGCGTGCAGCGGTATGCGGTATGCGGGATGCGGGATGCGGGATGCGAGGTGGGAGGAAGTCCTGTCGGACAGCCGCAGAGGGCGAAGGCCGAAGGTGAGTTGAGGATCAATTCATCATTGTGCGCGAGGACGGATTCCAGCGATGGAGATGGACGAGCACGGCAAACGCAGCGGTGCAGGGAAGGCTGGGCTGAGGTTGGTGGTGGTCGACAGCAGAAGCCTGCCTTGTTGCTGGAGGCGCGGGTGGTGGATCGAACTGAAGAGCAAGACCGACAGCGTCGAGCTGGATGAGGAGGCTTGGAGGAGCAGCACCCACGACGATGCGGGTGGAGCGGCCGGCCCAAGTCTCTCGGGTGCAGCTGCGAGCGGGCGCGAGCGTGTGAGAGAGTGGGTTTCGAGTCGCTTCGGCCAGACCTTTCCAGGGCCCTCTCTCTCCCTCCAGCCTCCCTCCGAGCTTTTTTTGCGAAAAAGGCGCACCCGAGCGAGAAAGCTCAAGTGGGTTGGAACCGCAGGTCTCACGACAGCGTCCATCCACAACAAAGCAGCAGTCGTGCGGCAGCCAAGCGCCGATATATTTTTTTTTTTGAGAGAGAGAATAAATTGTTTTTGGCTTCTAGGGCCGGCCGAATCACAATCAACAGCAGGCGAGAGAGCAAGCGAGACGGGTTCCGCCCGTTTCGCCTGCGTTGCACCCGCCGCGGCTCTGCGCTCGATTTCAGGGTCGCATGGGGGTGCGGAACAGCCGACGCTTGCGACGCTCGCCTCGCCTCTCGCTCCATTCAGCCATGACAGGGAGGCTTGGCAGGAGACGGGCTGAGCCGTGCCATCGGCACATGCGACGTCAGTCTCCAAGGTCGAGTAGAGCCAATGTGGCCAGTGCTGGGTCAGAGCTTGCAAGGTGCCGGCTGCAGGCGACTGCCGCAGCTCAGGGGCGGGACGCTTGCCTTGCCGCGAGCTGCAATGCAAAGCTGCGCACACGCTCGTGTGGGTGGCCATCTCCGCGGGGCGCTGCTTGGTAGCGCAGCGGATGACATGTCGCTTTTGCACCTGTCCGAACTGGCGGGGCGTGGCCAAATTTTGGCTGCGCACGGGTGTGATCGGTCAACCGAATCGCCGATGCCGCCTCGGGCGCACTTTACGCGCGCCTCGTTAGCGCGACGCGCCCCGCCACCTTTTGAGTGCAAAAGTAACACTTTTCTCCTCCTCCTCACCCTCCTCGACTACAACGATGCGCATTCACCTCAACCTTCCATCCTCGTCGGGCGCTGGGCCATCCCGTACTGGACGCATCGATGCACCGGCGCCGCTCACCGCGCTCACACCCAACGGCGAGCTCGTCCTGATCGAGCTGCAGGGCGAGCTGGAAATCGACCACCAGCATCCCGACGGCAACCAACTGCTGGGCACGATGAGCTTTGAGCCAACACGACCCGATCGGCCGGTGCTCATGATCTCGCACCACCGGCTCGAGGGTAAATTCGTCAGCCTTGTACGTCCACTTGCCGTGCTGGAGAAGAAGATCCGTCCCGATGCTGCCCAGAAGCACGTGCTGGTCGACGTGGGCAATGGAAAGCGCAGAGCCGATGATCCAGAGCGAGGGCAGGAGAAACGACCAAAGCTAGGAAGCTCACCACCACCACAGCCAGTGTCGCCAAGAAGAGCAAAGGATGCATTGGATTTCAGCTCGAGTCCTCCCCGACCTACGCCGACGGAGAAACCCTCCGAACGGGCGAACGCCCTGGACGGAATCGACGAGGCTACCCCAGACGACGACGACGAGGACGAAAGACAGACCGCAGTGTACTACGACGTGGTCAGCGTAATCAGGCGCAAGATCCTGTTCAACAAGCGCCCAGAACCCATCGTCCGACTCGATGCAACCCCTTCCAAACCGTAACCTTAAATCAGTGCTCAATACACGCTTCACACACTCAACTCCAGACCGGCAAAACAGCATGGCACGCTTATTGAACAACGACGCGGATGCTACTGGCCCTTGTATCGCTGCTTCTCGTACTCGCTCCAGATCCTCTTCATGAGCACTTTGCCCGCGGCGTCGAGCATGCCGACCATGGCGGCGTCTCTCTGGTGGTGGCCCATGATGCCGCACAGCGTGAGCATGCCCACCTCGAGCTCGGCGCGCACCTCGGGCGGCACCACTGCGTTCGGCGACGTCAGACCGCGCAGATACGCCACCAGCACGTACGTCGCGTGCTTCGAAAACGGCTTGGCCAGGCTCTGCGCCTTGCCCTTTCCGCCCCAGGCCTTGAGCGACACGTTCTTGGCCACCAGCGAGCTGAGCAACCTGCTCAACGCGCGTGCCTCGTGCTCGCCCAGCGGGGTCACCTCCACGGGGTCCAACCAAGCCGGTAGGTCGCGCCGCAGCTGACGACGCTGCATGCCCGAGGGCGTGCGTTTCAGCCGGCGGAACAGCGCACACAGCCGCGCGAGCAGCGCACCGAGCTGCGGCAACCCACCGAGGACAAGGTCCTGGCGCAGCCGCATGAGCGATCCCAGCGTCGAAACGATGCCACTGAAGATCGCGCTGCGCACCGCATCTCGACGAGAGGCCGGGAGCAACGAGATGGTGCTAGATGCCTCGTCGCGTGCGCTCGGTCCAACCAGCGTAGCAAAGAGCTGCATCATGGCGTGAACATCCTGCGTACGCAGGAGCATCGCATGGTGCCTGCAGAGCAGATCGAGTGCAGACACTGTCGCCACCATCGCGCCGACTCGCACCGGGCCCGCAGTGATCCCCACGAGCAGTGAGAGCCAGTGCGCCAGATGCTCGCGAGCGACCTTGGACGTGCCTTCGGGCGCGCTGCCCAACACCAGCCCCACTGTCGCAATGAGTGCGCCCACATCCGCGTCCGCACCCGCACCCTCCAGCGTGGAGGCACTAGACAACGCCGCGAGCAGCTGGCTCAGCGTCGCATCGTACTGCTCCGTGTCGAGGCGCGAGACGATGCGCTGCAGGCCGTCGCGCACGCGCTGCTGTTCGCCCACCTCTGGCAGCGACGACACCAACGCCGAGTACGACAGACAAGCTCCGGCCGCCGGTGCGCCTTGCAGACAGCGCAGAAGCTCCAGCGCCACGTCTGCTGCAGTGCGCACGAGTTTAACGTGGGCATCATCTGCGTCACTAACGAGACTGCCGCGACCCAGCAGAATGCAGAGCGTGGTGACCACGTCCTTGGTCACAGCGGCACCGAGCTCGCTGCCATCCGAGCGCGTGCCGTTCATACGCAGGTGGATCTCGCGCAAGTAGTAGAGTGCCAGCTCCAGCGCCGTGATCACGCCCGCGGCGGTGTTGAGGCTGGCGGCAGCGCCAAGCGTCTTGAGCGCCTCGAGGCTCTTCTGTGCCACATCGCTCTCCGCATCGGCCGCAAGCAGCTCCGACTCGACACCGCCGCTGCAAAGCGCAGCAAAGATGTCCTGCGCCGCGCGCTCCTTGAAAGTGACGTGCGAGGCGTCGCCGCTTGCCTGACGGCGGGCCTCGAGAGCTTCTCGCACAAGCGCCGAGCGAGTATCCGCGTTCAAGCTTTCCCTCTGCAAGAGCACGTTGACGGTGGCGCGGATGACAGCGAGTGAGGCCCGCTGCCACGCCGGGTCTTGCTCGTCACTGGCGACAAAGGTACGCAGGGAGCTCAACAAGTCCGCGTCGCTGATGTCGGCTTCGGTCGCAAAGTCCGCCTCGAGCAGTCGCGCGAGCAGCTTGCGGAGCTCTGTCCAGCCCGATCCACTGGCAGGCGCCTTCTTCTGGTGTGCGGCTGAAGCAATGTCACGATCGAGAGCAAGGAGCTTGGCGGTGAGTGCGCCACGTGCCGGTTTTGCGATCCATTCCGAGGGTGTGAGCCACAGCGCCGTCGTGGCCGCCAGCCGACTCTCCACATCCCGGCCGCTGGGATCCACGCGCTGCTGGATGCATGCGATCACATGGCGTCGAACGTTGGGCAGCTCGAGGAAGGCTGCGTTGCGCAGCGCAGTCGTCGAGATGTAGCGCATGCATCCTCTTGCCGTATCCTCTTCCGCCCCTGCCTCTGAAGCCGCCACGATGGCAGCAGCGAGTCGGGCCAGGAGGGCCTCGTCCGCAAGCCGGTCGAGCAGAGGTGCCCAGCGCGTCACAATCGCCAGCCACGCGGCTTGCAGCAGCTCTGCACGCCCACGAAGCTGCGTCGGGCGACCCGACCACATCGTCCCCGCCTTTGAGCCCGACACGGCGACGATCTCGTCGAGCAGCTGCGCGATCGGCGCCGCATCGGCCGAGATCAACTGGCAGTAGCGTGACTCGTGGCGTCCCAAGAATGCGTCTCTCTCGGCACGTTGCAGCAGCGCCTGGACGATCTGGAATTGCAGCTGGCACAGCGCCGCTTCGGCTGCGCCCCGCGCGTCACGCAGAGCCAAGATCTCGATGAGCGAGTCGGCGCGGTCGTCGAACGCCATCTCGAGGCACGGTAGGCTTTCTGTCGGCAGCGAGCCGTCGAGTTTGACCGGCTCCGAAGGATCGTAGCGCCATTTTTCCGACAGCAACGAATGCCGGAGCTGCAACGCTGCCGCTGCCACACCGCACACGCCAGGTCCCGGTACAGCACGAGTGGAGGCAAGCGCAGCATCGAGACACGGCAGGATCAGCGAGTCGTGCAATTCTTCCGCTGCTGCAACCGAGCGGGCGCGCAGCTGAGGCGCAACGTTCACGCTCTGCACCACCGTGGCCGCGATCCGCAGCTGAACGAGTAGCGCCGCGGTCTCCGCGTGGGCCGCACTGCTATCCGCGCCGCCCGAAGCCCTGCGCTGTCTCTTTGCAGCCTTGCCAGTGTCGACCGTGAGCGAGTCTAGAGCGGCACCAACATTCTGCACCATTGTCGGAATTCGGTGCACGAGGTCCGGCACCTGCATCGCGGTAACGCTGTCGTGGCATAGCTTGGCGAGCTCGGCAAGGAAGGTCTGTGAGACATACAGCGACTCGGCAAGCTCCCTGCCACGCCCGGCCAGGCGCTCGGCAGCGAGCGGGAGGCTGCGCATGATGTTGTTCACCAGAGCCGGCAGCGTGCGGAATCGAACATCCAGGGCTGCCACCTCGCGGATGAAGTCGAATGCAGCTTGCGTCGAGTCTGGGAGCTCCTCCGCGCTCCTGATGGTTGGCTTGGCGACCGGCTGAACGGCGGCCATAGCGAGGATGTCGACCAGGTCATCTTCGACGACCGACTTTTCAAGTCGCCAAAGCAGAGTGAGGCTGTGGAAGTGGTCGGCGATCTCGGCGTGCGCACTTGTAGATTCGTCGGTGGCAATGCGACTCAGATCGTCTCGAATGTCGATGAAGAGGGTGCTGAAGAAGGAGCGCCATGCCTCGTGCTCGTCGCAGCCGATAATGTAGAGGCTGTCGCGCTCGATGCCGCGGAGCACACCCTTGCGCGCCGCAGCCCGGTCGGCAGAGTTCTGTTGCGAAACACGCTCAGAAGGCGTGACCAGGAACGGCAGCACGGGGAAAAGCCAGTCGGCCAGCATGGTCTTGCGAACGAGGGCGAGCTGTGTTTCGCGCACCGAGCCAGCAGATGTGGTGCTGGAGCTCGCCATCGAGTTGAGCGACTCGCTGCGGCTGAGTCTTGTATAGAGTAGCTCGCTGAGTACGGGTAGCGAGCCGAGCGCGGCGCCAGATGTGATCCTGTCGTCGGAACCCTGCCCGTGGAGCAAGGAGACGAGCTTCTGAACGACCTCGATTGAGGCTGCTTTGGACTCCTTCCAGTTGACTGCGCTGCCGAGCTCGGCACTGCGACCAGCTTGAAGCAAGGATCTATGCACGTCGTCGGTGAAGAGGGATTCTGCCGCGATCTGCTTGACGAGTTCGAGCAGGGCCGATGCGCTCTTGATTGCGCTTTCGTCTTGCAGCGATTGGAGACTGACCGCTTGCAGTGCTCGGACGAGGGCAGGCAAGGTGCGTGTGCAAAAGTGGTGGTGGTTGCGTTTGGCGTTTGAGCCGTACTGAAGAGCGGTGGCCCACGTAGCCACGATGGACTTGAGGATTTCAAGCCCGCTTTGTGACTCTGCTGAGGAACGTGGTTGACTGAAGAACTCGAGCCATGCATGGATGGCGTCGGTGGCGGTTTCGATGTTGGTTGCTGCTGTGCGGGACGTGGCGGGCGGAAGGAGCTTCACCAGCGACACCTCAGCGGCGGACAGCACCTGGGAATGATCGGCATCTGATGTGGCTTGTGCCTGTTCGAGTTGCCTGGCGAGTGCACCGGCGAGCTGGAGCGTGGGCTGCGTGTTAGCGAGGTGCGAGAGCCAGCTGCGTTTCGCCGCCTCGGTCAGATCCGACTCTGACCCAGTCTGGGCGGCAATGATGCTGGCGAGCAGTGTCCAAGCCTCAAGATCGAGTTCAATCGGGCCGGTGATCTCTGTCGCCTTCCCCTTCTGCTGCTGCTGCTGCTGCTGCTGC